CCCCAAAACCCCAAAACCCCAAAACCCCAAAACCCCAAAACCCCATAATGATAAATATAGAAATTATGGGATGTGGTTTAGTGTACTATATAAGAATATAAGCCAAATCTTAACGTTAATTAATATATGATATACAATAAAATAAACCCAAATTCTTGTGTTTGTGAGTGTTAGAAGTAGTATTATGAGGTGCTTTGTTCACTGTTCTGTCTTGGTCTGCTGAGCGAGAGGAACCCAAGGCTTGGAATCCTTCCACTGCTCTTGGACGGTGAAGCTTTGAGATCTGCTCCCTAACATGGGTGGGGGCATCTGCCCCGGACTCATCAGGGTTGCAGCTTGACTAAAATCATGCTGACCCACCATGCCCATACTCATTCCTTCACTTAAGGTTGTGGTAGTGTTGGTGTTGTTAGGGATAGAGCTAGAGCCTCTCTATTAGGGGATGAAAGGTAATGTATTCTAATAGTTTCCGAAAAGATTCTGCACTGGGGCCGAGTAAGCGCCTTGCAAGTTGAATCTCATCTGAGACTAGCCGGTGGGAGTAGATACGGAATTGTTAGAAGGGTTATTGTTGTTACCACTTTGGTAAGTTTGATATCCAGAATTTATTTGTTGTTATCTTTATTATGGCTATTGTTATTGCATAGATTATAAATAATTGTTCTATTGTTACTGTTAGAGAGGTGTCATGGAGCTGTTGTTTTAGCCGTTAGCAGGGGTGAAAATCTGAGGGGGTTGTTATGGCACTGATCTCCTTCCAGTCACTGTCTCAATTTTCTTAATTGATAGTTCCTATCTTGGCTCCCTTTTGTTCTTTTCGCAATATCTTTTATATTCCTCGTAAACATTCATAATTAGTTCTTGGACATGGTTGCAAGCCACTAGGTATTTATCATAAAATCTGGAACTTATGCACAAGTGAAGTGGATCATTGCTTTCCTCTTGCTTGGGACCCTCTTTAAATCCAGAGCCCTTGCCTCTTAGCCTTAGTTTGACCATATCTTAAAGCTAGTCGTAGGAGGCACCTTTGCAGCAAATTTCGATGATTCTCTTCATGTTGCATCCTTTTGCTCCTATGAGTCTGCGAGCAACTTAGAATTCCTTGTCATTATCTATTTATATATCGAACCTGCAAGTGTACTTAATATTCTCATCTTGCATCTATTGCGAAGACTGTTGAGGTAAGTTCATTTACTTGGTATAGCCCTACATGGAGTAGTTCTGTTATTGAGCAGCATATATATTTTGATAATTGAATTGAGTCATTTGAGGTTAAGGTTATTATTATTGCTATGGCTACTGTTGTTATTACAATGGCTATGGTTAGTTCATGTTACCCATTTATTACTATCCTTGATACATCATTCTCTATGCAAGAATCTAATCCTCACTCATAGTGGGAACCACCTGCTAACTATTATTCTGAGGCTGAATCTGAATGTTTTCCTAATTAGCTTGGAGATCTGGCACTTGCGATTTCTGTGTGAGCCACTTGACTGATAATTGCGCATTGTATTTGCTCAGATAAAAGTTATTCAAAGACTGCTGAGCGAAGAATGCTGCGACAATGTCCTCGAATGTAACGAGTGCATAGCCTTGTTGAGTTTCCACCGAGACCTCTCGGATTTAGCCGAAAACCTTGAAAACCTAGATAATAAATTAGTTTACTATGCAAATGATAAATGACTGATAAAAGCTCACTCAATAAAGACAGAGAGTCAAATAAATGAACTTAGCTAGAAATTATGTGACTTACATTCTCAATGTCTTGTTTGTTTAGTTGGAAACTTCTCTAATGAGAAGCGAGGTAGGTAGAATTCATAGGAACTACTTCGAGGCGGAGTACTGGATTCTTGACAGGAAGACCCTGTAAAAACTTGTTAGTGTTTTATTTAAATTACGTTTTGATCAAGGATCGCCATTAATTTTGTTAATGACTCTTCATCGAGTTTCAGAGTAGTTTGGGCAGAGAAAACCGGCTACTGCTGAGACTATTGATCATTCATTTAACCTTAATTTTCAATTTAAGTATTATAATACGAGGATTCCTGGTCTTTCGGAATCTCCATCGTTGTCTATTCATGATAACCAGGCCCAGTCAGGGAGCCTGTTGATGCATTATTAATAGTGGAATTCATCACCGTTAATTATTATAATAAGTAATAATATGCTTTAATTTTATACCTATTTAACATCTATTTTAGCTGGGGTTTTGGGGTTTTGGGGGAGGCTTTCCTATTTTTTGTC